AGGTAAATGCTGTTGGCTAAGGGTGCATGGAGATGATTGTAATCATTACAATGATTGCTGAATGTAAAAAAAACCTCAAAAAAGACAATGGAAGGTAAATGCAGGTAGTATATGATCAAGAACGGATGGCACTGAAAAAAGAAGTCTACGCAGCACTGGAGGCAAAGGCGAAAAGCAAAGCTCCAGGAACTGACAGATACAAATTGAAGTTTTTCAACCAATTGATGCAGCACTGGTGGCATTCACTCATCTCTGCCAAGACATTTGGAAGACAGCTGTCTGACCTTCTGATTAGAAGAGATCCATATTTGTGCCCATTCCAAAGAGAGGTGACTCAATGGAATGTGGAAATCATCGGACAGTTTCATTAATATCATATACAAGCATAATTTTTCTAAAGACAATTTAAAAACCACTGTAATAATACATCAACAGAGAACTGCCAAAAATCCATCCCAATTCAGAAGAGGACATAGAGCTAGAGATATCATTACTGACATCAAATGGATCTTGGCTGAAAGCAGAGAATACCAGAAAGAGGTTTACTTGTGCTTTATTGACTGTGCAAAGGCTTTTGGCTTTGAGGATCATTAACAAGCTATGAGCAACATTGTAAAGAATGGGTATTGCAGAACATTTCATTGTGCTCATGAGGAAACTGATCGTAGACTAAGAAACAGTCATTTGAACAGAACAAGGGGATACTGAATGGATTAAAATTAGGAACGGTGTGTATCAGGATTGTACTCCTTCACCATACTTATTCAGTCTGTATGCTGAGCAAATAGTGAAGCTGGGTGGTATGAAAAAGAACATTGCATCAGGATTGGAGGAAGACTAACAACCTGCAACATGCAGATGATACAACTTTGCTTGCGGAAAGTGAAGAGGACCTCTAATAGTTACTGATGAAGACTACATACAGCCTTCAGTGTGGATTGTACCTCAATGTAAAGAAAACAAAATTCCTCACAACCAATAAGTAACATCATGGTAAAGATTGAAGTTGTCAAAGACTTCATTTTACTTGGATCTGCAATCAACACGCATACAAGCATCACCCAAGTAATCAAACAATGCATTGCATTAGGCAAACCTACGGCACAACGGCACAAGACCTCTTTAAAGTGTCTAAGAGTAAAGCTATCAATTTGAGGATTAAGATATTCCTGACCAACATCAGGGCATTTTCAATACATGTCAAATTTGGACAATGAGTATGGAAAACCATAGAATTTATGCATTTGAGTTGGGGTGTTGGAGACAAATACTAAAAGTACCATGGACTGCCAAAGGAACAAACCAATCTGTGTTCGAAGTACAGCCAGAAATATCCTTGGATTCTAGGATGGCCAGACTTCATCTCTCATACTTCGGACATATCAGGAGGAACCAGTCCCCTGGAGAAGAATATCATGTTTGGTAAAGAAGAGGGTCAGCGAAAAAGAGGAAGACCCCCAACAAGATGGATTGGCAAAGTGGCAGCAGCAATGGGCTCAAGTGTAGCAATTGTGAGGATGGCCCAGGACTGGATAGTTTCCTTCTGTTGTGCACAATAGGGGTGATATGAGTTGGAACCAACTTGACAGCATGTAACAATATGGGAAAAACAAGTTTTAGAGACTATCTTGAATCTAATCTCAACACTTGAGATATATATACATATATAGTTTCAAAGGAGATTTAAAAAAAAAAGCTGTAAGGGATAATACATCTTAGAAGTGTTTATGTGTTGATAGGAATTTACATTTCATTTTTTTTTCCCTCCCCACAATGAGTTTGTAAATCTTTTTAAAGCAGGAAAGACGTTTTTTCAGAAGTACTTGTGAGGCCTACAGGATCAGTGATGAGAGTGAATTACAGTGATACCTTAATGACAGAAATCCAGCTTCTTACTAGCTACGTTTCAGCAAACCCCCTTGGCTTCTCTGAGCCTGCTTCCTACATAATCAAATGTGGATTATGGTCCTATCCCAGGACTAACTGAGGTGCAATGTACACAAATGTCTCAAGCACTGTACTTGGCATAGGATATTAATACACATGAAACCAACTCTTGGTAGCAGAGCTCTTTCCCACTGTTCCAGGAGGACCTAGCATCTACAGCTGGTTTCAGAGAGGCAAAAGGAACCTGAGTCCCTTATCAGGAGCACCTCACTAAGCCTGGAGTTGTCTACACACTTGCTCTCCTGCCACACTCTCTTCCTTCCCAGCCCATTAGCTTGTTAGTTGCCACTGAGTTGGTTCTGACTCATGGTGATCCATGTGTACAGAGTAGAACTGCTCCAGTCTCTAATCATTTGGAAGCAGATGCCCAGTTGTGTCTTCCAAGGCACCTCTGAGTGGGTTGGAGCCATCCACTTTTTGACTAGTAGTTAAGTGCTTAACAGTTTGCACCACCCAGGGGCTCCCGGCCTTTGCTTTTATCATCCAGAAACTAATGAGATCTCATTCCTTAACCTGTTTCCACCTAAACTATTTGCCTCTCCCTCTCCCTTGGTCTCAACAAGCTCAGCAACCTAGACACTATTCCTGAGTGTATGCAGCATTATTTTCAGTGTAACACACATTTGTCACACATTTGCAGAGCACCTACTGCTAGGTTTTGGAGTCCTGGCGGCACTGTGGGTTAATGCACCAAACTGCAAAGCTGTTTGAACTGCATGGTCTGTGGTTCAAGCTCACCAGCTGCTCCTCAGAAACCCTATACAGGATTGCTGTGGGTTGGAATCGACTCGACAGCACTTAACAACAACTGCTAGGTTCTAAGGAAGATTCCAGACTTCTGCTCTCTGCTCATCCCATCCAGAAATATGCATGTGGGCTCACTCTAGTTGAGAAGTTAGATCTTTCAACATCTACTCCTTGTTGCCAAACTGCTGTTAAGAGCAAGGCACACCGTGTTAAAAGAAGCTTGTGTGTAAGATTCACACACATGGGTATGGGAAAGGGGAAATGAAGTATTTAGTATCTAGAGATTTCCTCACCCTGCGCTGCATTACCTGCGTCACACACAAAAAATGTGCTCACTCTCCTGAACTAATTTTAAAGGCAGTTAAACCAATTCCTGGAGTCCTGGTGTGGCACTGTGGGCTCATTCTTACTGAAGCAGTCTCATCTACTTTGTGGTGATCAGCCCAGTACTTAACCCGCTATGCCACCAAGGCTCCTTGTAAGACTCAAAGGGATGCCTGGACCTAGCATTGTAGATTTTGATGCCTTATTGCGCAAACGTTACCATCAACTAAGTAGAGAGACTTACAGTTTCAACATTCTAATAAACTAAGTTGTTTTCTGCTTTTCCTTATTCCTGTCCTTGTTCAAAACCCACAGTGCCACATCAGAAGTCAGGAAATAACACACTAGAAAGCTGTTGTTTTTACCTTTTTCCATATCCTTCTAAAACTATTTTTTCTTTGAAGAAATGTAATACATTTACTAAGTTAAAACTGGTAAGTGATTTAAAAGTTTGGATTGTTTGCCACTAATTTAAAATGGTAGGGGGTTCTTTTTCAATTTCCAAAATCTTAGGTTCATGCACAGATTTTAAAACTTTTTCTTAAAAATGGTTAAGCTTCTTGCCTATACTGACTGACTTGACTCACTCGTGTATCAATTCGTTTAAACTGAGTAAATAATGTTACTCCTCCATGGTCCCTCACCCAGAGCTGGGGCTCTAACCCTTAAGCCCCTGTACCAAGCTTGCCACCTCTCTCCCAAACGAGACCATCAAGAATTTGCACACCTTGAAGGGGGTGCTCTGGAGTCCTGGCGTGGCGCTGTGGGTTAATGCGCCAGACTGCAAAGTCGTTTGAACTGCAAGGTCGGTGGTTCAAGCTCACCAGCTGCTCCTCGGAAACCCTATACCGAGTCGCTATGAGTCAGAATTGACTGGGGGGGGGCACTTAACAACAACAACAAGGGGTGCTCTGGAGTCCTGGTGTGGCGCTGTGGGCTAATGCAGTCAGTCAGACTGCAAAGTCGTTTGAACCTCAAGGTCAGTGGTTCAAGCTCACCAGCTTCTCCTAGGAAACCCTATACAGGGTCGCTATGGGTCAGAATCGACTTGACGGAACTTAACAAAACAACAAGGGGTGCTCTAAAGAATATATTAGATAAAAGTCTTATGGGGAAACTATGAGACGCCATTGGAAATGCTAATTACTCCCATCACTAGCTTAAATTGAAATGTTACAAAACCGAGGGCGATGCTGCCCCAACGCGGAGATGCGCGGCCGGTGGTGGCTCAGCTAGGCAGCCAGGGCTGCAGTGTCGGATGCCAGGTCGTGCAGTTCGGGCCGGCAGCGGCTCCGCCCCGATGGGAGTCCTCCGCAGCATCTCCGACACCACTCGCCCGACGAATGGCGGGATTCGGACTGTTGGTCCCAGACGCTGGGAGCCCGATTCCGGGCTCTCCTCACCTGCCGCCTCAGCGGATGGACCACGCAGCCGGACTGTAAAGCCTCCCCGAACCCTCGCCAGCTGAGGTTCCAGGCGCAGCAGGTCGAGGTAGGGCCCACGGGTCTCCGCCCGGCGGCAGGTGGGGAAAACCCGAGAGGAAAGGCTGGCAGCAGCCGCCCCACTTGCAATCCGGGGGCGGGAGGAAACCGCTCCCTTCCCCCGGGCTGCGCCTTTTCCCTGGCCAGCGCCCCTCCCCTCCCAATCGTAGGTGCAGCCGCAACTGGCGAGCCGAGCGGGGCCGAGTGGAGCCGAGCATCCGCCCGCGCGGCGTTGCCGGTTTAAGCGCAGTGCGGGGCCGCGGCCGAGGGCGGCGGTAGTGAGACCAGCGCTGCGCTCCAGCCCCCTTTTCCCTCCATGGTTTCTCTCCGCTCCTGAGAGTAAGTTGGCTCCAGGGGCTTCGCTCGCCCGCCCGCCACCCGGGACCGCGCCGCCCATCTCTGCCGCGAGCAGACATCTGCCGACGGCCCTCGCTGCACAGCGCAGGACGCCTCTCCCCCCTCCGCGGAATGCTAAGTGTGACGAGGGGGGCAGAGGGAACCATGGAGAGAAGGATTCACCTGGAACTGAGGAACCGGACCCCGGAGGCTGTAAGCAGAACCCCTTCGGGCGCCCTCGTCCCCCCATGACTTTGCATGCAATGGTGGCCACCTGCGGGGCTGGGACAGCGGATTCACCAGCCCTGGCGCTGGGAAGGGCGCAGCTCGCGGGCTCGGGCAGGCGGGCGCGACGGGGCAATGAGCGCGCGGGATTAACTCTTTGGCGCCCGAAGGCCCCCCGCTGCCGCCCGGAGATGGCGAAGGGCTTGGGGAAAACTAACTTTGAGCGCCTCGCCGGCCGAGGCGTCTTTCCGGAGGGAACGCATGTGCGTGTGGCCAGCGGCGAGGCAGGGAGGGAGGCGGGGGTTGTGTAACACTGGGAGCCATGTTTGCAGCCTCTCGGGATGCGCGGCCGGGCGGAGGCCGGGCCGCGGAAGAACAGTGTGCTGGCCCAGACCCTATGCGGCTCAAGCAGGTCTCCGCGCGCCCTGGGACGGCCGGAGAGCGGGCGCGAGCAGAGCGGGGGGCTTCCAGCCGGGCCTCGCAGCAGGGGCCGGCTTGGCCGAGTGCGAAGGTTGCGGACTGAAAAGGGGGCTGTTTTCCCCCGAGGAAGGCGAGGAGCCCACGCGGGCACTTGGGCCACAGGCGGGCGCGGCCTGGCGCACGCGGTGCGGGGGAGGGGCGGGGCGGAGGTGGCGTAACCGCTGCCCCTTCCTCGGCCAAGTTTGAAAAAAAGAACGCTGTTCCCGCCATTTTTCAAGCCTAAAAATAACTTTATCTTTCCCTTTTTTTCGCTTTTGCTCCTCCTTCGTTCTCCATGTCTCCGGGACTCAAAGTCGACCCGGGCCAGTCGCTGTAGCGACGGGGTGCAACGGCTTCGTTTTTACCCTGCGCCGCCACGGCGTTGCCCGGGGGCCCATACCCCTGGAGGCTGGCCCCTCGGTATGGGTGGGCGGGCGGCAGTTTCTCGCGCCAGTTGGGGCGCGCCACAGGCAGTGTACAGCGCCATGTTGGCGGACGCCCGTCTCCCTCCGCCGGGTGAGGCGGCTTGGCCTGCGGGCTCAGCCCAACGACCTGCCCAGGCCGCCAGCTGCGACTGATGTCGGTCACCGCGTCCGGAGCCCGGACAAGCGGTTTCTTTTCAGCCTGCGCCCCCCTGGGCATTCCCCTGCACTGGCGGGAGCGCGCGCTACGGCCGCCGCCGACTCATCGCCTCTCGGGCGCCCTGGCGCCCGTCTCCCCCTTTCTTAAAAGGGCAACGCCAGCGGCCTTCTTGCCCAGGGCCTGGCCGGCCGGCCTCAGTTAGCTTGCAGGGCCTAGCGGCCTCTGCTCCCGCACGTGCTCGCCTGAGGCGGAGCGGGCCCGCCAGTGCGCCTTGCGGCTTGCTGGTGTTTGGGGCAGGCCTTTAAGTATCGCCCACTTGATCTCCACTGGTTCTCCTCCCGAATTAGTGCGGTGCTCCCACCTCCCTGGCCCCCTCCGTGGGTGAGTGGGGTTCTCCGGGGTTTCCCCCGGGCGCCATCCCTGTGGTTTGGTGTCTGTGGTTAACAAGTTGCGAACTTGTGGAATCAGTAGGCTCGCTCGAGGTTTTGTGTCTCTGCTGCCTAATTCTGAGGTCGTGGCCATGGCTGAGGCTGGAGCTGCCGCCCAAGTGGGGCGATCCCACCCTGCCCTGGAGGATGTGAGAATGGGCGTTTTGGTTGGCTTCCTGGGGTGTACGGTTGAGGCTTGAATGGCATGGCGTGGAGATCATCCGTCTCCGTCAGACATCTTGTGTTCGCCATGTGCAGGCGCACTGAATGGTTAAGGACCTGCTGCAGATTGTAGGACTTCCAGGGAGCTCTGCTCACCTTGAGGGCTTAGTTCCACACCTTTGCATTATTTGCCTTGTACTTACAGACTGTGGAATGATCCGTTTTGGACAAAATTCACTCAACGTATGCCAGGGTTCTTACTCTGGTGGGTTTGCCCTCTGATCTTTGCTATATAACCACCCTTTGGAGGGCTTAGATCTGGAATTTAAATTCTTTCCTTTGGCGCTCAAACTAAATTCCTTTTAACATACTCATTAAGAAAATAATGTTGTTCCTTCCAGAAAATACAACTGGCCTGGCGTTCCCAGTGTATGGTAGTTTTTAATAAATGAAATAGTTTAAGTAAATTTTTAGTTTTAAAAAATATGTTAATATGTGCAGTTATTCCTTTTTTTAATTAAAAATGTCGTTTGTTAGTCACACTAGCCACAGTGTTGAAAAGCCACCTGAAACTAGCAGCTCCTCTAATGGCCAGCACTGGCCCGAGAATAAACGGTTGAAATTAGTCTTTGAGGAGCAGAACGAGACAGCAGGCACAGCCCTTCTCCCCATGGGATGACTCACTGCTGCCCCTGGCGTTGGGACTTAGGCCCTCAATTGGAAGAGGAACGATTACTGATCTAAAACGAAAGTTTACAGAAAAAATGCTGTGGATTTTGAAGGATCATTTAATAAGATAAAAAAAGTATTTTGTGCAAATAAAAACTTTTAAAAAAGTAATTTTGTGCAAATGTACTCATACGGTAAATGAATGGTTCAAAGGTAATGAACGCCTTTAAAGTTGAACTCAGCTTGTCACGTGGCTTCTTGATGTGCGTTGTGCGGGTCTTCACCTGGCAACTTGAAGTTAAACCGTCAAAATTATGTAGGTCAGGAGTTTTCTAACATTTTGGTTTCTCACAATTTCTTGCCATTCTTAAAGCTAACTCATTGAGGACTTCTTAAAGAAGTTCTGTTTATGTGTGTTTTATAGATATTTTCTGTACTTGGAAATAAACACATTTTTAAACACAAAAATGTACAAGTACAGTATTAAGCCCTTGGAGGAATGGCATTGTTTAGCCCTTGGGAAACTCCTCTGTACCATCGAGACTGAGAGTGGGAAAGACAGTAATGATGTGGTTGTGTGCCATCGAGTTGGTTTCCACTCACAGAGACCACCCTCTATAGGGTCTCTGATGCTGTATTATATAGGAGCAAGAAGTCCCATTTTTCTCTGCAGAGTGGCTGGTAGATTTGAACTGCTGACCTTGCAGTTAGCAGTCCAGCCTATAATCCACTGGTGTGGTAGGTGGTGATAGTGTGTGGTAGAGTCTAGTCTGTTCCAACTCACAGCCACCCTGTATAGGGTTTCCAAGGCTGTAAATCTTCATGGGAGCAGAAAGCCTCATCTGTATGAATTTCCTAAGAGGACTAAAGATAAAAACCTGGAGTTCCTACACAAAGATGACACAAGAAATATAATGTGTATTAAAAAGAAGGCTATGATGCATATAGATGTGGAAGAGTTTATAGAGTGAGACAGACAGCAGGAAGTTCAGGGGAGCCACGCCTGATTGTTGACTAGCAACAGAGAAGTAACATTTGAGGAAACAGAATACCTCTTTCCTCCTGCCTCACAGTATTTCCTGAGCGTGAAGACTGCCTTCTTCCTCAGGAACATGTATGGGAGACCAGTTATGAACATGGACTTTGGGCCAGTGGGGAAGGCCAGGTCCATGCAATTCCGATCTATTTCCAGAATATGCCAGAAGTTCTAATAAAAGAAAAACGGCTCTAGGTTCTTCTTGTGCCCCAAATGCCACCAGGACTGCTGAAATCTAAGGAGGAAGGGTTGGGCAAGCACGTTTATATTTGTGTCTGTCTACAACTTAGAAAGCTATCTGACCTAATACAGTATTCGCTAGTCTTCTACTACAAGTAGAATCTTGGAGTCAAATGTACTCTTCTTTCTTCTTCTTCCTTTTCCAATTGACTTGCTTTTGTTGCTAACATTTTAAGATAAATACAAAAATCCACATTGCTTTCTATTTAACTCTAGTTTTGTTTTCTATAGTCTTCAATTAAAATAGCTACCTTTGTATTGGAAATTTTGAACTCTATTGTTAACCAAACAGACTTTTTAGGGACTAAACTCTAGGGTGTAACATCCAATTATAGCATTGTGTCTAAAGAAAACACACACTTCAAGTTTCAAACAACCAATTCCTGAATTGCTTATAAGGCCCTGTTTAAGTTAAGGTGACTCAGAAAATTCTAGGTCAAGGAGAGCCAGAGAGGAGATGGAAGCAATTTCTTTTCTCTCATCCTCTCCCCAAATGTGTTCTCATTTCCAACTTCCAAGGCTGCTCTAAACAAAGCAATTTTACCAAACTGATTGGTGGCCTTCCTCAATTTTAACAGATGTTTTGAACACAAAAGGAGGGTAAAGAAGATAGAGGACTTAGAAATCATTTAGATTTATCAATTCCTTTTATCAGAAGCACCAGTCCCTGGAGAAGGATTTTCATGTTTGGTAGAAGGTTGGAGAAAAAGAGGAAGACCCCCTCAACAAGATGGATTGGCGCACAGTATGGAAGCAGTGATGGGCTCAGGCATATGAACAATTGTGAGGTTGACCCAGGACTGGGCAGTGTTTTGTTTTGTTGTGCATAGGGTCTCTGAGTGGATACCGACTTGATGGCACCTAACAACAACAACAACAATACAGTTTAGTATAGTATTGTATAGTGACACATGCCAAAATGTAGGCTATGGTGAGAAGGGTATGTGATTTCTATTTTCTTCTTTTTGCTTATGTATAGCTATTATTCTGGGGACTTATCGATGCCTATTAATTTTCCTTCCATGAATATATTTAATATTTATATAAGGAAAAAGTTCCTAAGTAACCAATTATAAATACCTGGTTAAGCTCAAAATGACATCTTAGTAGAGATTAACAATAAAAGAAATTAACACCAAAAAACAGAAGGGAAAAAAAAATCAAAGAAGGAAGACTTAAGGTGAGAAAAATAGCCCAAAATTACATCATAATAGAGATTAACAATAGATACCAAAAATTGAAGGAAAAAATATCAAAGAAGGAAGACATAAGGAGAGAAAAATCGACCTTTTCTTTAGTAAACTGATAGGAAAAGTCTCAGTCCCTCATACAGCACACATCAGTGTCGCACAGGGGAAGGGGCTGACCCACAGGAAAAACTACTTGGCTTTCTAATATTGAACAAAAAACTCAAAAGTCACTCAAGGCTAGCGCTCCCCAGAAAGATAACTGAACGAGGTGTTTGTGACAAAGAGTGGCATGTTTGGTGTAATGGAAGGTTAAGACCCTCACATACAAAATAACAGGAATTTTCCAAATTGAGAATACAACGAAATTCAGGTCACTAGTGAAATCCAGGAGTCCTGGTGTGGCGCTGTAGGATAAACCCTGCAGCTCATGGTAGGCAGTTCAAACCAACTAGCAGCTCTTCAGAAAACCTGTGTAGTTGCTATGAGTAAGAGCTGATTTGATTGCATTTAACAACAATCTCATATCTATCTCACTGACAATACCAATTTCAGTGATGTACATGCTCTACTACTAGCTTTGTTCTCAGTGAAGTAACTGACAATACTAATACTTTATATAAAATAATTCCTATCCTTACGTATAAAATGGTTTAAAATGATGATTAAAATGCCATCTTTAGCCATTTTCTCTAATCTGAGAATACATCTTTGATGGAAAGCTGTTTCAGATTTAGAAAAAATGAAATTACGTATCTTTTTTTAGAAAAGAGCCCCCACCTCCCCTTTAGGGAAAGAAAATAAACCATCCCTGGGTTTATAAGGAACAAACCAGTTGCTGTCAAATCAATTGCCACCCAGGTTCAGAACAAAACTCTACATCATAGGGTTTTCAGTGGTTGTTTTTGGAAATGGCCAGGCTTTTCTTTCAGCGTCCTCTGGATAGACTCAGGTCTCTAACTTTTTGCTTAGTAGCCCAGCTCTTAACCACCTGCACCATTCAGAGACTCCTTATTAAAAACACGTTTCCCCAAACCCACTGTGTTGAATCGATTCTGACTCACTGTGACCCTACAGAACAGAGTGAAACGGCCCTACAGGGTTTCCAAGGCTTAGAGCTTTACGCAAGTACACTACCATGCCTTTCTCCTAGGAGCCACTAATGGATTTGAACTGTTGACCTTTCAGATAATAATATTGTTAAGTGCCATCAAGTTTATTCATAGCCACCCTATACAGGGTTTCCAAAGAGTGGCTGGTGGGTTTGAACCGCTGACCTTGCATAGTTAGCCCAGTGCTTACCATATAGTGCCACACCAAGACTCCTCAGATAACAATAGGAGTACAATAATAGGTTAACTGAACCCATTAACTTGGCCTTGTGTTTATCAGCAATATGAGGGGCTTTAAAAAGTTCTTGGAAAAATACAATGTCAAGATGATGGGATTCTTCCGTGAACTTTTTGAAGTCCCCTTGTAAACTGGCCATGAAACACAAGCATAATCTAGGTGTTCTTCAAACTGAAGACAAATAAAGTCATTTGGCCTTAAAAACACATCTACAATGAAACCCCGACTCAGTCTTAGATCACACTTGACATTATAACCATTACGGTTAACCTGGGATAGTCTGTATTTGACTATCCTGTCTGTATTATGATAAGAGTATATTCAATGGAAGAAGGGTTCTTCCTATTTTCTAAATGGCCTGTGGGATCCCAAGGCCAACCCTACTTTCTATAGCATTTTTTAAAAATAATTCAGAAAATACACTTTTATAATTTTATTTGGAGTGAATCTACAAGGACTAGAGGTTCTGAGTGCATCTGGGGGAAGAGACCCTTTCTGAGAGGTCCACAAGGTCAAAATGATTTTCATAGTGGAAAAGAGCCCTGGTAGCATACTGGTTACAAATCAGGCTGCTAACCTCAGGGTCAGCAGTTCGAAACTACCAGCTGTCCCATTTCTCAGCTGCCTCATAACCGAGGAATCCCAAATATATAACTGCAACCCAGACCTCCCCTGAGCCTTAACTCATGGGTCTAGCCAGTTGCTTGTGGATTCTTCCACTTGGATTTCCTATGCGAAACCAACTTAACGTCCCCCGTCAATTTCTTCTTGATTCTTTTTACTATTGCTTGGGTAAGCAGTGTTAAAACCACATTCGAGTTTCTGGCATTTTTTGATGACCTGTTGTACTGATTAAAGTGTAATTTTGACCAATTAAGAGAATGTTCAAGAGATGATATTACTCAGTGAACTGGGAGGAAAACATGCCAAAAGAGGCAGTATGACTTTCTTAATTCTGCCTCACTTAGATCTGGGCTTTTTGTTATCATTTTGTATTGTAAATTCTCTGTCAAATAGTCATAATGATTCCCAAAACCAAATGGGTCATGGAGCACACACAGTAGGGCTGAATCCTTGTCAGTGGAGGGAAGAAAGGTAAAGGTCTAAAGAAAAGTGCAAAAAAGGAAAGAAGTGAAGGGAGAAGACCTGCAAACATCCTCTAACCAGGGCTTGTAGACAGAGTGGTGTAGCAAAGAAAAACTAGCGATTAATCCTGGTATGGCGCTATAGGATAAGCATTGGATTGCTAACCGAAGGGTCAGCAGTTCAAACCCACCTCCGAAACCCTATACAGGATCGCTATGAGTTGGAACTGACTCACCAATACTTCACTATAAGTGGCACAATAAGTTACCTCCAGTACCATTGGATTTTATGTGGGAGGATTAAAATATTGTTACTGTGGCTTTTCCTCACTTCGGAATTATCAGCTCAGCACCTCCCTTAAGGATACCATTCTGTAATGCATGTAGATTCATTGTTAGAATGCTTTTGTGGTACAGTTAAAACTAATTGCATCACTGTAAGTTGATTGGACCATTGTTAAAAAGTTTCCCTTCTCAGGGATTGTCATTGTAGATAACAGGCAATGTCTGCACAATAGACTTTAAAAGTTTTCAGACCAGATTGGATTTCCATTAAAAAATTCATACATACTTTGTTACATAACATGCAATCACCACAATGTAACAGCACTCTCCCACCTTCCTTCCTGTGTTTGTTTCCATTTGTCGTGCTGCTCATTCCTGCTTTCTCAAATTTATCTCTGGGCACAAACTACTCTTTTGATCTCTTATGGTTGATTGTGTACCTCCCTAGTGGTGGTCAGCATATAGGCCTGTCTCATTTGGCTGAAAGTTGAGTCTCAAGGATGGGTTTAGTTCCAGGCTTCAGGTGAGTGAGTTTCAGGGTTTACACCAGTTGCTCCAACTGGTCTTTTTATGATCTTGAGTTTTGTTCCACATTTTTCTTCCACTTTCTCCAGGACCTTCTACAGAGATCCCTTTTCAGAGCGGTTGGTAGTGGTAGCTGGACACCATCTGATTCTGGTCTTAGGGTTGTGAGGGCTCCCCTGTGTTATTTCACAGGGACCATTAGTTGTTTGGACTGTTTGTTTCCAACAGGGAGAGACCAATAGTTGCACCTTGGATGCATTGTTGTAAAGTGCCACCAAGTTGCTTCCAATTCATAATGACCCTGTATAAGATTTCCATTGAGCAACTGTGGTGACTTTGAGAAAAGGTATGATGTCCATATTATCTGTCAGAAGATGTTGTGGGATGGATTTGAATTTGAGTTCTGAATATCAAGAACCTCAAAGGAAATTTTATAGCAATGAAAAAGGTAACTATTGTAATGTCTAACAATCCTCTTCCATAGGTAGATCTTTCTCATATATATACCAAATTGATCTTGGTTTGGAATTAAGGCCTCTTGCATCTTGAATCCTTCCAATGTGAAGATAATCTTGGTAATAAAATCAGATGGGGGAAGTGTTTTAGTGCAGAAACATTCCAAATCTTAGTGATCTTAATAGGAAAAGTCAAGTTTGCTTCTTTTCCCGTAGTTTGGAAAATTAAAGGGGCATCTTCACTTTACATTTTTATTTAGTTTCTCTTGGGGAGCATGTTTGGTGGGAAAATAAAAGGGTATACCATATTTTGATGCACCTTCTACAGGCTAACCTGGGCCCCTGTCCTTGTCCCCCTTTTTTGGTAAAAGTGATAATGCTGATTTAAAAATGGCATAGTTGTGCTTATGAATATCTCATGGAGAGAGGGAGTTGTTGGCAAGGTGATTATTTGCATAAATATAATTGTAGGTTCTTCACGTAAAAGAACCATTTTCTATCTCTGGAAAACGAAATCTTTATTATCCCTAGTGACAGTCTAATTTGTTACACATAGAAGGATATTGCTTTTAAAGGCGTAATCTTTTTTTCGTTTATTTATAACTTAGTGTAGGTCTAAGGTGGGAGTTTTTGTTTCCTCTGTTTTTTGAAAGCTTGTTCTTTTTCTTTATTGAAACAGGTTCGAGAACTTGTCCTAGACAACTGCAGATCAAATGATGGAAAAATTGAGGGTTTAACAGCTGAATTTGTGAACTTAGAGTTCCTCAGTTTAATAAATGTAGGCTTGATTTCAGTTTCGAATCTCCCCAAACTGCCGAAATTAAAAAAGGTAAGCACTTTCTCTTTATCAATAAAAGAGAACTATCCTGGGGAGGGAAAACGTATGCTTTTGCATGTAAGGAAGCTCTTAGTGTAGCAGAAAGTAGTATATGACTTTTGAAACTGGGCAGGCCTGGGGTTGAATTCCAGCTCGATCATTTCCCTGTTGGGTGATCTTATGCAGGCTACTTAATCTCTCCAGGGCTCAATTTCGTCACCTATAAAAACTGGTGATACTGATTTACCTTGCAGAATTGATGTGATATTTAGAAATAATAATAAATAGCAATTATGAGGATAATTATTTTATGGATAACTTAATTGTTAAAATTCTATATATATATATATATATATAAAATAATATCAGCTAAGATGTGTTCTTAGTATGTGATTCTTGGGAATCACAAATACATCTCTCTACATGTTTTAGCGTAGTGGTTATGAGTCGGGCTGCTAATCTCACGGTCAGCAGTTCGAAACTGCTAGCCACTCCGCTGGAGAAAGATGAGGCTTTCTTCTGCTCCCGTAAAGATTTACAGCTTTGGAAACCCTGAACAGGGTTGCCATGAGTCGGTTCTGACTCCATAGCACATAACCACCACCACATGTTTTAGTGTAGTGGTTTCAAGTCAGGCTGCTAATCTCACGGTCAGCAGTTTGAAACTTCCAGCTGTTCTATGGGAGAAAGATGAGGTTTTCTGCTCCGGCAAAGATTTATAGCCTTGGAAACCCTATACAGGGTCGCTATGAGCTGGAACCGACTCCACAGCACAAAACCACCACATGTTGGTTAACAGGTAAGTTTAAAGATGCTTCAGGTTTATAATTAAAATAATTAGAATCTGTTGTATAGTTCTTAATGATTGTTGTTAAATGTCTAGTCAGTCAATTCATATCAACCCTATACAGTTCTCAGAAATCCTATACAGTAGGTTTGAACCACCGACCTTGCAGTTAAGAGTCCAATGCTTATCCTGTAGCACCACAACAGAGTTTAAAATGTGTTGTAGCTGATTGGAAGATTTCATTTAGTGAAACAAAACTATTGTATTTTCCTATTCTAGTTGATGGCCTATCTTTAATGCTTCACTGGTCTGCCTTCTTTTAAACGCTCCTCCAAAGGGATAAAAGTATTAAGAACAGTGTTTCTGTTGTCCTAGCACATTTATCTGTCATAGAGCCCTACAATATCAGTGATAGAAGAAACTTAACATTTTCTAGTCTGGCCGTTTGTCTTAGCACACAGCCACAAGCTCAGACAGATTTTGCTCCTAAAGTCCTAGTGTGGCGCTGTCGGTTTATGTGCTAGACTGCAAAGTCATTTGAACCACAAAGTATGTAGTTGAAGCTCACCAGCCACTCCTTGGAAACCCTATACAGGGTTGCTCTGGGTCAGAACCGATTCCACAGCACTTAACAACAACAATAGTCTATTATTACCTGGAGTTCTGGTGTGGCGCTGTGGGCTCATGTGCTAAACTGCAAAGTCAGTTTGAACCACAGGTCAGCAGTTCATACTCACCAGCCACTCCTCGGAAACCCTGTACTGCATCACTATGGATCAGAACTGACTTTAGGGCACTCAACACCAATAACAACCCATTGCCTGGAATTCTCAGAAACCCTGTACAGTGTCAGTGTGAGTCAGAACCAACTCAACAGCACACAATGACAACAATAATCCATTACCTTAAGGGACATTAGTGGCCTAGTAGGTTATGCATGGAGCTGCTAACCACAAGGTCAACAGTTTGAATCCACCAAGCCACTCTACGGGAGAAAGACGAGGCTTTTTGCTCCTGTAAAGATTTACAGCTTCAGCAAACCTTAAACAGGGTTGCTGTGAGTTGGAACTGATTTGACAGCACACAGTAAAACAACAATCCATTACCTTTTCCATTACATAGGGAAAACTGTCGGATGATGTCAGTTTTCCAGAATTCTGTTTTTGGTGTTTGCTGTGCTAGGGAACTTGAGTAAACAAAGGCACACACAGAAAGAAATTTATTTCTGTAATCAAGTTTAGGCAAAGTGCAGGTAGGCTATTATTTTGGCTCGCTTGAGTCCCAAGAGGGACTTATTTTTGATTAAGTATATGAATTAACAACTAAAAAGTGTTCTTAATTGTTTAGGCAATTATTATTCCGGCAGTCCTCATGAGTTTCATGTGACCCTGTTTTTTGCTCAGAAAGAATCCTATTATATTTAAATTTGTAGTTTTCTCCCTTCTAAGCATGTACTAGGAGTCCTGGTATGGTGCTGTAGTTAATGCGCTGGACTGTGCTGGTTTGAACAGCAAGGTTGGCAATTCAAGTTCAGCTGCTCCTCGGTTGCTATGGGACAAAATCGACTCGGCACTTAACAACAAGCATGTACTACAGCAGTGTCCTGCAAGCTACCAGGTCATCAGCATTTCAAACCCACTGTCCACTCCTTGGAAACACTATACAGGGTCACTGAATTGAAGCTGACTCGATGTCATTTAACAACACCAACAAGCACGCACTGTTGAAGTCCAAATTTAATCTTGTTCTATTTGCATGGGTCATCAGTGATAGTGGAAACTCTGATTAGCTCACTTAGATTTGTACAGTGGCTTTTTAGCATCTTCACAAACTTGATGGTAGAAATCCATAGTTGAGTATGTTAGTGGTTTTGTTCTGTTTTCCTGGCATCCTGTTATATTGTCCTAAATGGTTCTGGTGTCTGTACTGTCAGACTTATTCAGAAAGTTAGCATCAATGACTTAGTATGTGGGACTTATTATATCTTTCTGATATTTCAAAACTTGAATCCAGGGCTTTGAACCAGCTCGAGCCAGTTCAGTCGAGTGCCACAGTGAGAAACTGAAATTTGTAAATTGTGTTAAAGTAGAAAAGAAAAATAACAGGTGGAAGCCTTGGGATGTAGACTTGGAAAAGGTGTGCTGAGCCCTTTCAGTGTCTTCCCTGGAGATTGAATTTGTGCCAGAACTATGTAGAATTCAAAACTGTGTGATCATCCACCATCTTTGAGCTGGACTTGCTTGTTTCCAAGTCTTCTGGGTAAAAAATTTAGTTGGTTATGCAACATGCAGCAGCCCTTGTTTTCTAAGAAGGCCACGTACCTTAAAGATACGATGAGATGGTAGTGAAGAGATCTAAAAATTAATACTTAAAGGCAGATTAAATGTTCCCACAGACAATATGGACTTAATTTTCTTCCTATTTTTTATAAGAACCAGACTCAAGGAAAAAAAGGAAGAAAAAAAGTGCTTTATAAATGTCACTGGCTTCCAGAATTTTCATTTATTTCATTTCAAAATAAATATTCTACTAAATCCTTTAGCGAATTCCTTGTTTGGTGCTGTAGGATCAGCTAACTGCAAGGTTGGTGGTTAGCTGCCAGCCACTCCTTAGAAACATTGTACAGGGTCCCTATGAATGGAATTGATAACAATGGCACTTAACAATAACAGCAACAAATTCTTTAGTGGATTGCCATGTTATTTCTATGCCCTAAGATATGTCAAAAGGATGTGAATACTACATGCGTGTAATATTTGAATCAACCATAGGAAGTGGTCACTGTTTATAAGAACAAAGCTCTTTGCTCTTATCTATCTCTTAATCTAGAGCATGACTAGATATTTACTGGGATATAAAACTCATTTCAAAAATAATTTGAAGTTTTAAAAGTCTCTCTACTCCGTATCATGTAATATTTTTCATTGCATTCCAAAGACTGCATTACATGAAGTTTTCATGCTATTAGAGGTTTGTTGTGTAGTGAGGGGAAGTCATAGAAGATTTTCTGAAGACAGTCATTGTACCAGCTGTATGACCTTGAACTTGCTACATAGTTGCTGTGTGGTTCATTTACCTCATCTGTATATGGAGATAATAAGTCTGTTACCCCAAAGGCTTGTTGTGAGGTCAAATGAATTCATGTATTTATAGTACTACAACAGTGCCTGGCACTTCAGGACTGTGTTAAGATTAGATACAGTTACTGTTATTGGCACTTAAAATATAGAATTGAAACTAGCTGTGTGGTTTAAGTTTTCTGATCTTCAAAATGAAGAACTTGATTCAGTGCTCTCCACGGGACTTTCTAGGCTCCAATTTCTCTTACTCTGCGATTGTAATCATTGGTGAAGGCTCATTCCTTCATTGGCACACTAGTTGCCGCTGCTACTTGACCTGCAGCTAGGAAATTAGAGTAGGTTCTTATAAAGGCCAGTGCCAAGCTTACACAAGAAATGGCCTCCAAGGAGCTGCTTTCATCAGCCCTGAGACCATTGCCCTGTTACTACTGCAGTTGTTGGGATGTTTTCAGGGCTTATCTCTGGGGTGTGGCCCACTTCTAATAGACTCCGTACCAGCATTCCATGGTGGCTATCAAATGTAGAACCCACAATGTATCAGCACTGTGCACAGCAGGTTAGGTTTCAGGTGGGCAAAGCAAGCTTTACTTGGCACACAGAATACGATGTTCAGAATGCACGGATCATTTACCCTTTCCTGGCAGGTATAGATTATTAAAACTTCTCAAAGGATTCTAAGTTGCTTTGTCCTACTTTTTAGGTTAGAAAATGTATTCGGTGATGTTAGAAGCCAATTCTCAAACAAACTTATTATTAGCAGCTGGTTATGAAAACACAGCAGTCCTCACCTTGTCCCCGTCTCGTCTTTCCTTCCCTTAAAGTTGCTAGGTAGGATTCATAAACTACTAATTTGGATTTAGTCATAGAAATAGGAACCATCTGCTCATCTTGATAACTATTTGAGAACACTTTCTGCTATTTTTATCACCTTGCTGATGTGTGTGTGGTATGTATTTTCTCTTGCAGCTTGAGCTTAGTGACAATAGAATCTTTGGAGGTCTGGATGTGTTAGCGGAAAAACTTCCAAACCTCACACATCTAAACTTAAGTGGAAATAAACTGAAAGATATCAGCACCTTGGAACCTTTGGTAAGTAAATAAGAATTTGGAAACCAGGATTTTATTGGTCATTTTCATTTTCATATTTTTTTTATTGCAAGGGAAATGGTTGGGACTAGTAATTGAAAAATGTGATTTTTAAAACATATACACACAAATCCAATTTTAAAGGTGAGGGCTTTTCATTTTGCCTTTATTCCTGTGGTTTCTCTCTCCTTCCCTAACATTGTAGTGGCTTCCAATGGTGGAGGGTTTTTTTTGACGATCTTTTTAAATTCATATTTTGACTATTGCGTTAAGCATTTTTCTTACCTTTTCCCCAGATGGCTGACCAAGCCAGTCTGTACTTTTATAGTAAAAATTTCAAATTTATACTAAGTACGTATCTGAATTGTAGATGGAACAGTCCAAGAAGAGCACCACGACATTAGATCTTCTCATTCACGACCTTGTGCTGGTCACTGTTTTAGAAAGTTTTGCTTAAAAATCCCCCAGACTTCTCCTTGGTTTCATATATTGGGATAAACTGTGGACTAAACTAAGTTTAAATTTCATTTGGATTGTCAATTTACTGTGTGACTTCGGGCAAGTTGCTGCTTCTCTCTAGGCCTCAGTTTTCCTAGATTTTGGAACGGGCTGGTATTCCCTGCCTTATTTCATGTAGGGGTTCCGAGAATAAGGTAATATGCTTACTATCATTTGTAAATTGGAAGGCTTTACAAATGTGGAGGCAGTCCATGTAGAAGTTGTAGTGGCCGTTAAAGAGCTCCCAAAGACAGAAGTAACCAGTAAAGTGAATGCAGAATCTGCAGCAGCCCTACAGCCTGGGTTATTAGGCTGCCACCTGGAAGTCCTGTGCATTCAAACTGGTTACAGGACTGTCCCTAAATAGGACATTTTGTAATTTGGAATGAAAGTAGACTCTCATTTTAATACAGTTGAAGGGAATCAAATGTGTGTCATACTATGCGAAGAAGCCACCAGCATTCTGTTTTTACTGATTTATATAAAGTCAGTATTTGGGGTTGACTTACCTTACAGCAAACATTAATTAGGAGAAGATTATGCAGAAGATAGGCATTGTCTTTCAGGATTCAGAGGAGCAGAACCCAAAAGGAGATAATAAGACATTCTCCTCTGCTGTCTCTGTCTTTTCTGGTGTCACAATAAATGAAAATGCTTATGTTTCAGGGGAAGATAAAGTTAAATTATGGCTTATTTTAATGGAAAGGATTTCCTTCAGAACTGTGAGGTCCTGCTTTCTAATTAGCAATTGAGATTCCACTCCTATGTAAATGTAATGGCCATCTACAGAGTTCCTTTTTTTATTATATTTCAAGTCAACTGTATGTAAGAACTAATATTTCTTATAAATGTTAGGAGCCTACTTCTTCCTTACCCTTGTTCCACAAATGTTGTCACTGTTTTTCTGTTATAGGTATGCCCTAATACGATACTCAGGCTCCTTCATCTTTACTGATTTTATTCTTGTCTTCCAAACCAAACCCCCATTTTACAGTGTTGAAGCAGACATTTATTGAGTTTTGCTTTATTCAAACACTATCTCATCGTACCCTTGTATAACTCAGAGAGGTGAGAATGACTGTCCTCCTTTTAGAGATGTTTACAGAGCTGAAATTCAAGTTCATGGTGCTTTCCATTGCCCTTGGGACCTATTCTTCTGTGTCTTAGAATTTACCCTCTGCCCATATTGGCCTAAGCTAGGGATTCCAGCAGGAACACTAAATTGAGCGCTGACTATTCGTGCAGTCTGATAGGCTACACTAAGCCTTTATTATTTATATGCTAATGACACGCCTATCAATTCTGGGTCACTGTGAGCATGGGAACCCCTTTTTCCTAATACAGAGGATTAGGCAGTATTTTCCATCCTAGATCACTGACGGTTGCCTAATTTTCCTGACATCCTGAGCCCTGTTTGACATTTCATTCAGAAGCCTTTGTCAGTGCCCTCACAGAAAGGCAGAACAGAAGAAAGATAGTGTGGGAGATGTTGGCTTGGGTGTTCCTGACCTGCTAGTGATGTCCAAGGGACTTTGGTAGCTAAGAAATGATCGTCATTGTCTTTAACCCTATGCACTAGATGCTGTATGTTATCAGTCATTCTCAAAACTGTATACAAAGTGGGTAGATAGCATGCATGGTTCCTCGTCTTATAGAAGCTGAGGCTTAGAGGAGGCTGCTCCTTGTCCCAAGTCACACACTGTGTTCTTCAATGGCAAAACCTCTCTGGGAAAAGCCCGTACTCTCACTGTTGGGCTATACTTGCTTTTCCGATTCCTGGGGTGCCAGGTTGGATCCTGAAGTTCTAACTTGGAATACAATAAGACTGTAGGAGAAGGTGAAGGGAGGAGGGGATGCGGGGTCCATTATGACGTCTAAGACTATTCAGGGGGAAAAAACACCATCCTCATCTTCATTAACCACATATATTTTGAACACCGTCTACTTTGAGCCCAGCTCGTAAAGTCAATGCAATGATTGTGAATGCCTCTGCTTGCTACAGGGACATTAATCGAGAGACAAAGAAGGCATCAATTCAAACTTCCTTGGACACCTTTTTTAAGAGACCTGGGCCATCCAAACCATCCCCCAAAGCCCTTCTAAATTCTAAGAAGGCAAGCAACATTATTGTTAATAAAATGTTTAATGTTTATTATGGCTAGGTCAAATTTCTGGTGTGATAGAATTGTAATTTTTTAAAGCCGTATTTATAGATTACACTGAAATCTTCTGGATAAGCTATGTATAGTGTCTTTTGTGCCTGCTGGACCCTCTCAGATTATAATTTTACCACATAAGAGAATTCTAAAGTATATTAACAGTTATTTAGCATCTTTTTTGTCATATTTATTTTGTTTTCTGAGATACCGTTTGCAATGTCCCATCTGTTTGATGATAATGGGTCCTTTGGCAGGAAATAGCCAAAAATTCTTATGGTTTTAGAAACAGCCTTAGATGTTTTGTATGCAGGAATAGTCAGTAAACTGAAGAACGGGTCTGGTGTGCTGCACAGTGTCCAGCTACACATCAGAGGCTGTCGTTTGGTACATCTAGGAAATGGTTCATCGCTTCACATGAGACAATGTCTTAGACTGAACCTCTCTGGGAAAGCTGCCTGAAATTACTTGTGGTTGTGTTTTAGCAAGCATAGTCAACATTGGTGAGGAGAAAGGAGTTCCCAGTATACTGGCTAGTTGTCTGTGGTGATATTTCCACATTTTTCCCCCTCATTGGCAAGAAGTCATACCTGGTCTTCTAGAACTTGGGGCCTGCTCAGTAGGGAAGCTATTCTGAAAGCAAACAGCAGCCCTCCCTGAGATTAGAAGGCACAGAGACAGCTTTCTTAAGAACTCAGGACCAAGTTACATAAGCACATTGTTTGTTCCACGCACTCTTAGATCATTGTACATTTGTGTTTTGAGGGGTACAACATTTGCCTTTTGCTATAACCCTGCTGTATGTCACCTGTAGAGATAAGAACAGGTGACAGGCCAGAATTGGTCAGCGGACATAGGGTCCCTGCTGTAAAGATTTTCCATTCTTCTTGTAACTCCCCAGAATTACACAGGTACTTAACATCCTGAAGACAAGATCTCATCTTGTCTGCATTTCTTCCCAGATCCTTGTGAATGTGAACATAGAGCAAAGTCATTTATTCTGGATAGCTAAGCTTTCCCACATAAATCTTTAGGCATCGCCCCACCCTCCAATTTTTTTTTTTTTTTTTTAAACTACTTAAAAATGCCAAGCTTTTTCTCTTCAGAACCATTATTACAAATTACACTTACAAGGGCATACAGCCATGTGCCCTCTGGGCTCATCCTATTCAAAAATCACAGACTACATATAACACCTCACATTTTATGTTAGCTTTTTTAGGCTCACTCTCTCTTCTATCTGTGAGGGTCTGCTGTCACTTTCTGTTACTATACCCTTGTAACAGTACCTCTGTTCTTCCAATTTCATAAGTCTTAACCTTAATGAAACCTTCTAATAGACTTGGTATTAAAATACTGGTAACTGAGACATTAACCAATGAGGGTCTGAATAAAATACAGGGACATTTTGCTGTCTACTTTGACTACTCAGAAAGCTTCTCTTGGGCTAAGTTTTTAGTTCATAAGTGTTTTAGGATGGATAAAACTGACAAATGAGGTATTGTAACAATGTCAAGGTATGGTAAATGGGAGCGATTTTTATCAGAAAATTCTGGTTTAAAAAAAAAACACAGCATCAGTTATAGTACTTTTCCCCAAGAAGGAAAGAGTGTAATAATGTTTTCTTACTTTTTTCATTCCTTTCCCCCAGCCTTATGTTGACTCCTATCTTCTTAGACAATGTTTGCGTCCCCACACTTTATGCTTTTTAAATCTCCTGTCCACTACTTAATGTTTTCATCTTATTCCCTAAGTAGAACTGTACTTGAGGTTGAAGAAGGAGCCATAGTGGCTCAGTGAACTAAGCCCTGGGCTGCTTAATTGCAAGGTCTGCATTCAGTCTCCAGCTACTCTGGAGATTTTCCAATTTATAAATGTTGTTCTTTCTGAAGTTTGGGGCTGTTACAAAGCTCTGAATTTTTTCACATACTGCTACCCCAGAGAATGGAAGACCCAACCAATTTCTCATTGACTATTAACTCAAATTTAAAAGCTTATTTTTGAACCAAGCATTAAGCTAGCTGTTTGATTTGCCTTACACTTTGAAAAGATGTGGTTTTAATAAAAAATAATGTGATTTAAAATTATTTTTTCTGTAAGCTCCTGAAAAAAGGACATAGTTATCCAGAAGGACACCTGTAGGAAGGGGGGCGGTACTGATTAAAATCCAGTGCTTTCAAAGGTTGCCAGGACTTGAAGTGTTTTCCTTTTGTACAAGACTGAGTGGGTAGCAACTTACTTGAATACAAACCCTAGAGTTTTACCACTTCAGAAGATGGGTTTTGCTGCTCATGTTCCTTTTGTTTAGGAGTTGTGGTTTGTTTGTTTTTTTATCCTTTTCTTTAGAAAAAATTAGAATGCCTGAAAAGCCTGGATCTGTTTAACTGTGAGGTTACCAACTTGAATGATTACCGAGAGAGTGTATTCAAACTCCTTCCTCAGCTGACCTACCTGGATGGCTATGACCCAGAGGACCAGGAAGCCCCTGACTCAGATGTTGAGGTGGACGGTGAGGATGAAGGTGAGTAGATGCATTACTCAGTGCCTTTTTATTGAGAAAAGAACGTACATTCACGTTGTGTAGTTATTCCATTACATTTGGGGCTAGAACTTCTGCTTAATTTTAATAAGCTCTTGGGACATTGAAGCCTTAAAATGATTCAGAGCAAAAGTGGTTTGTTAATTAAGTAAATCTGGTCACTGATATGAATTCAGGATACAGAGGTCATAGGTCTTTCTCTGAACTATTCCATTTTCTTGGTCACTACCCAGTTGTCCATACAAATTACTCTTTTTTTCAGAGCCTCGTCCAGGAAGCATTTCCTGGTATCCACAGCTAGGTTAGCTTCATGTTTGTAGAGGACCTCTTTTAGAGTGCTTGTCACTCTTCTCGCCGCTTCCCAACCAGGCTCCGATTATCTTCCTAGGTTGTTTGGTGCCCTTGAGTTGGTACCAACTCATAGCAACTTTACGCACCGCAGAACGAAACACTGCCTGATTCTGGGCCAACCCCTCTACTGTTGCCATGCTTGAGTCCATCAATACTGCCACTTGCCCAACCCATCTCATTGGGGGTCTTCCTCTTTTTCTCTGACCCTCCACCTTACCAAACATAATATCCTTCTCCAGCGACTGGTCCCTCTTGACAATATGTCCGTAGTATGAGAGACAAAGTTTGGCTATCTTGGCCTCCAAGGAGCTCACTGGCTGCGCTTCTTCCAAAATGGATCTATTGGTTCTTTTTGCAGCCCATGGCACTTTCAATATTCTCCAACACCATAACTTAAAAGCATCAAATTCTTCTACGGTCTTCCTTATTCACTGTCCAGCTTTTGCATGCATATGACATTATTGAAAATACATGGCTTGGATCAGGCACACTTTAGTCCTCAGCTATCTTTATCCATTCATAGGCTATGGCTCTCGGTAGGCACCAGTATAGGTACTTGGTGCATGTTTGTGATATCCAATATACAAATAAGCCTTGTCTTGCATTTCTTAGCTATATGGCGTTTAAGTGGGTAATGCTTTTAAAGTGCTATGTGTGAAGATTCTACTTTTGATTAACACTGAGAGAAATGATCTGGCCATACCATAAAGTTCAAGTGCATTTTCAATATTTGATCAAGGTGTTTTACATTCCATTTATTTTTTAGGAATCTTTTTGTGTTTTCTACCTTAAAAATTTTCTCTTGATTAACCAACCTGCCTTTCCCTGTACATTGACTTGATTACTCTCAGTCACTTTTTGGATAACAGATTTTTCTCAAAAGAGGAGTAGAGGAAGCAGGGAGATTGATTTTCATAACAGTCATATGAAGAGAACTTGTTCTAGAATTCCTGGTGTTGCTGAATTTTGGTATGGCTGTATTTGAGGCATTCTTCATAGTGGCATCTTTTAAAAAGCACCCAAGACAGAAATTGTAAAAAACATGGGGTAAGGGTGAGGTACTGGTAGCATAGTGGTTACGAATCGGGCTGTGAACTGCAAGGTCAGACGTTCGAAACTACCAGCGGTTCTGCGGGAGAAAGATGAGGTGGTCTGCTCCTGTAAAGATTTACAGCCTTGGAAACCCTGTGCAGGGTCGCTATGAGTCGGAACCGACTCTACGGCACTTAACAACAACAACAAGGGTGAGGTACAGATGGCAGAGTTCTCGTCGGAATGGAATTAATGCCATCATACTCTGAAGGCTTGTTTGCTTGCCCTCGTCCACCCCCCACCCCCCAGCAGATTGAAACAAGATGGTAAAATTCAACATCTCTCCAAATGTTTATCATTCATTTCCTGTACATTTACCTTAAACAGGATGAATGATCATATTTGCAGGAACTTGTAAAGTAAGTTCCTTGGAGGGTGGAGGGCAAAAATCAGTGAGCAACCAATGCTTGCACATTTCCTATCTGCCAGGCGCTATGGGCGATGGTGCCTGGGCGAAAATAGCACACATAGTTCTTGTCCTCTTGATGCTTACTGTCTCCTAGAAAGAAATATTAACTACTCAAAAACAAATCTGTCATCCCACATGAGCAGAGTGAACTATAATGGAGACACACCAGGTGTGGTGAGATTGTCACAGTTTGGATGAAGTGTCTGTCTGGTCCCACTAGCCCCCTGAAGACTTGGTAGGGTATAGGCACAATATGCACATGAAAGGAGCCAGAGAAACTGAGGTTTAAGTAAGATTTATTAACATCTAGATGCTCTTCCAGGGAGGAGAACAGGCTTCCACCTCGTGAGTGAGAAGCGCATCTAGTGTGTTCTTGGTTTTACTTTTTTTTTTTTTTTCCCTAATAGTTGTCACCTGATCCCTATGTTTACCTCATTTTCTGGGTTGATGTACTTCTTTCCCATTACATCAGCTCAGTCTTAGTCCTTTTCTCCACATGCCTGATTTTGGGGAAAGTTCCCTCTTCTGTCTTTCCTTTTATTAGACTCTCCTGACAGGTCAAGTTGTTTCCTGCATTTTTGTGGTTGATTGTGGTTAGTCCCTTTTCCCTGATCTCTAACTGCCTAACAAAATCATCTAATCGGGATTAAGAGCCCTGGGAAGACTGCCTGAGGTGGTGATGTTTACCTGAGACTCAAAGACTGAGTCAGAGTTTAGCGAAGCGGAGAAGAAAGGGAAGAATTACAGAAGCTGGAGGTAGGAAAGAGCACAGAAGCTTTAGGCACCAGGAGAAGTCAGATCCTCACAAAATTTAAGAGAGATGCAGGTGCCACCAAGTCAGCTCCTTGGATCACAGGCTTGTTAGGACAGTTCCCTGGGCAGTTGACTGTGGTGGTACCAAATTCCCATGCCCATCACCCAGCTTCAACAATGATTGCTTTGTAGTTGAACTTGTTTTACATATACATACACTTGCCCATTTCATGTATTGTTTTGAAGCAAACCCCAGATGTTGTATTACTTCATCAGTAAGTATTGCAGAGTTCATCTCCTGGTTCCATGGGACTCTGCTGGACAGAGGGACTTCATTGCACTAGCTATTTGGAAGAAGAATGATGGCTGCAGTTCATGGTCTCCCCTGGTTGTACCTCAGCTTAGCATTCTTCTTGTGGGCTCTAATACTTGGCAAATGTGTCCCATGAAACACCAAGAGTACTTAAATAAGTGACTTTTTGGACTATTTTCAGAAGAAGATGAGGATGAGGATGAAGATTTTTATTTCGAAGAGGAGGAAGATGAAGACGAAGCCAGTGGGGAGGTCAGTGCAGCTCTTTTCTGTCCTGCTTCCTATTGATAATTATAATGAAAGGGCAGATTTTCAAACAGAAGGGAGCTTCTGACAAAATTAGTTAGTACTTATGCATCTGATGAATTTTGCTTCTCCCCCAACTTAATAATTATTGAATGGAATGCCTGCTGAATGATAACTAAGCATATGGCTTAACTCTGCAAATTAAGTTTGGGCCTTTTAACTTTGGCTGAAAGTAAGAGTAGAATATTCAGTAGGATGAAAATACTGGGAAAAAAATCTATTGTTGGTTATACCTGTGTGTTGATGTATGTTTTACTGAGTTTGAACTTGTTCTTGTCTGTTGGGCTTGGTTCAGTAGATATGTTGTATGCCTGCTCTGTGTAATAGTTGGAGATGTAAAGTAAGTTAGATCATAGTTCTGCCATAACAGAGCACATAATCTAATTAATGGGACACCATCATCAGAATGGCTACGAATCGGGCTGGGAACCACAAGGTCAGCAGTTTTGAAACTACCAGCTGTTCTGCAGGAGAAAGATGAGGCTTTTCAACTCCCGTAAAGATTTCCAGCCTCGGAAACCCTGTACAGGGTCGCTAAGAGTTGGAATCGACTCCATGGCACATAACAATAATAACAACATAGTTGTGTCTTTTTTAATGTTTTATTGTGAATTATGTGATAGTTTACATGGGAGAACATTAGTTTTACATTCATTCTATCATATATTGTTTCATTGCCATGGTTACAATCCCCTCTATGCATTATCAACCAACCAAAGGGTATACCCTGCAAGCCTTGCCACCAACCCCACCCCACCCCCAGTTTTCAGCACACAGTCCCTCTCCCTCTCTGGATCTAAATTCCCCAGCTGCTCCATCTCTCCACGTCATCATAGTTGTATCTTTGATGCATGTTATGTTTATTTGCAAAGTACATTTTTATACTTTTCAACTTGGCAGAATTAATCTGGTAATAATATACTGTTTACCACTTTTTAGGAAGAAGAATTTGGCCTTGATGGAGAATTTGATGAAGATGAAGAAGATGAGGATGAAGATGAAGATGAAGGTGAGTCTAATAACATGCACCTTCTTAAGAGTTGGCTAAAAATTAAGTGAAGTTGTCTATGAATTTAGAATTGGAACCCACTGGGAAGAGAATAATAGGCCCTGTGTCCTGGTGGCCTACATAGCCCTGTGACCCACCTGCATGCTAGTGCCGCCCCACCTCCTGCTTCAGAGATTAATGGTGGTAGGCCCAGTCCTAACTCCCCTACACTTAATTAATTGTGTTAGTTAGACCCTGTCATTTGGATTATAGCTAGGCATAAAGTTTGTTTGGCATTTGTTCATAAAGAAGGCTTAATAATTGGGTCATAATTTTTTGTTTGTGTTACTCCTTTTCCTATCACAACTAAGATTACTAAAACAACCATTATTTATTTAATATTGTGTGGTAGTTTGGTTCATACTTTTACTCTGCATCTGCCAGGCACTGATACAGCAATGATTTTAGGAGCCTTGTTCCTAATCAGGAGCTTTTTGGAACATGATTTATCACCAGTATAGTTACTTTCATTAGTCATGACTTTTTATTAGGAAAATAGGACTGTGCATAGGTCTTTGTGTCTCTATAAAGCATTGTAAAGAAGTTACCATGTACTAGACTAAGTACCTTATGTATCTGGTCTCATGTAATCCTCAGAATCATGCATTTTACAAATGAAGAAACAGACATGCAGAGGCTCTTTAAGTAGCTTGCCCAAGGTCGTGTATAAGTGAGCATGACTCACAAACAGGCTAGTTGATTCCAAATTGTCTAACTGTTGGCCAACAACTTTGAAGGACAATTAGGGAGAGAATAAGTTAAAATTGAGAAAACTGGGTTGACTCTGCTGTATGAGTTAAGTGCTGCTACACATTTTCTCGTTGCTTCTGTGGGTGGGTACAGTTTGTACTTCTTTTGAATTATATATATTCAGTAACCTATTGATTTGATCAAGCATGCATCTTTCTTGCCTCCCAACCATCAAAAAAAGAAAATCTTATATTGTAGCCTTCATTAGCAGTAACTTTGGCAAAATGCCATTTTAATCATCTCAAAATGATTTTTTCTTATTATACAGAGGAGGAGAAAGAAAGCGGGAAAGGTGAGAAGAGGAAGCGAGAAACAGATGATGAAGAAGATGATTAAGACCCCAAACAACCTGCAAAAAAAGAACTGTTCAGTATTGGTTGGACTGCTCATGGATTTGGTAGCTGTTTAAAAAAAAAAAAAAGTAGCTGTGATACAAACCCCAGGACACCCACCCACCCAAAGAGCCAAAGAATAGTTCCTGTGACATTCCACCTTCTTCTATTTAGTCCCTCTTGGAAATCCACCACCAAGCTTGGGGACTTCACACCCCAACAAAATTGTGTTTGTTAGGTTTCCGTGTAAGACTTGCTGTAGCGTGGATAGCTGTGATCAGTGAGTCTTAACCATTTGTGGCTACCAGTTACGCTGAGATTGTAATAGCATTTTTACTTTCTGTACAACAAAGAAGCTTTGTAAATAAAATCTTAACATTTTGGGTGTTTTTCATGCACTTCTTTGCTTCCTTTAAAAAAAATTTTTTTTTTTTTTTTTTACATTAAGATCTTTTATGTGACAACTGCAAAAAAAATTATTTTAAAGAATTTAAGTCAAATAAACATGTTACTCTTTGGTAAAGCCTAATTGTATGCTTACATTTTAAAATTAGACTAATTGTAAGCTTACGTTAGAACACACTAAAGAGTTGCTTTCTTTGCATTTGTAAACTGGTGTTGGTGAAGATAAATGTACAAGTCTGTACGAACCGTGAACTTTTGATAACTGGAAGTAAATGAGGCAGACTTTTAAAGGTGTTTGAAATCTAAAGCTCTTGAAAGCTAGTAAAACAGTATATTAGTTTCAAATGGTAGATGGATTTTAAGGAAAAGAGGACATAGTGTAAAGGAAAAGCCTAACACAGAATTTCAGATCTGAATTCTAGTCTTGGTTCTGCTAACTGATTTCCTGTGTGACTTTGTCTTGACCTTTGGATTACCTCCCAGTCTGTAAAATTGAGGGGTTGTGAACAGAGAACCTCTGAAGTCTCATGCAGCACTGATCCATCTATGACCCTTGCTGACTGAAGGGTCTGAGGGAAAAAATGGGCTTTGCACTAAGGCTGAACAGTTTAGGGTTTGATGGACAGACAAACAGAGTATGGTTTGTTGTCAAGCTAGGCGTGCTAAGGAGGAGTGACATGTGAAAGGCCTTGCTGGGGAGCTGGTAGGCACGGCCTGAGGTCTGCTCAGCCTTTCCAGAGATGGAAAGATTCTCTGTTCTTACAGACCTTAGAGGGATTTGAGGGAGGGGAAAGATAGTCCCCAGTATGTATTTTATGGCTCAACTATTTAATGAAAATAGGTGTGTATGTGTATGTATGAGCACCTTATTATCAATAATAGGTATTTTCATTAGTTGAAGACTTGGGGATTATATTAGAAAATCTTAGTTATGGCTGTTGGAATGAGTAGGGTTTTTATGCATTAACAATGTTAATGTAAAGATTGGAATTACATAGTTTGATGGGAGCCCCAAACATAACTTTAAAAATAAGTTCTCAATGGTTTTAAAGTAGAATTTGCATTTGGAAACCAATTCAGTCCAATTGAATTCCTCATTTACTAAAGACTTTCTTTTCCCTTGACCATAAGGTCTTAGCTGCCATTTAACAGACCTTCAATCGCCCAAGAGGTCAGGTGAAACAGTAACTTTGGATCATTTTTCCTGAATTTCCTAGTTTATAAGAACTTTTCCTGTACCTATGAAACACCTACGGGTTTATGTCAAGCCCCTCGGCTGGGGGAAGGGAGACTGGTATAGAGAGACACCAATCCAGGGGATGCTCCTACGATCTAGTTGGAGAAGATGTAGGTGTGTGAGTGATATTTGCTAGGAACTAGGAGCAAGGGTACCTAGATACGCAGTGGGACGCTTCAGAGACTGGCCAGGTGGCATCCAACTCAGAATTGGGGAAATTTGCTTGAAAGGAACGTAAGCTGCATATGCAAGTATATGAGTAGAGTTTAGCAATAGAAATGGAGGCAGAAGAGAAAGGGTCGTGGTAAGCAAAAGAGATCGGAAAACAGGGTGGATGGTGTGACAAATAATTGGGACCTGGTCCTAGAGGACCTTGTTAAGAAAATGCCAACTTGATCTACTTGTGGCTAGTGATGACATCTAGGGAATTACTAAGCCAGGTTTTAGTTTCTAACTTTTGAAATTGAGTTGTCCAGAAGCCTTTGACATGGTTCTGCCTCCACAGGGAAGCCCAGCCCCCCTGGGCCAAAGGATGTTGTTCTACATTTCTCAAGCTTTTTGATGAGGAGGTCACAGCCAACCATTTCTGAAATTGTCTCCCATCTGAAAACTTCATTGACTAGGTTTGCTTCCAGCTCTTGAAGCAAATACGAGAATTAGGAAATGCCGGGGCTGGAGCGGGGCTGTGAGGCACTAGATAACTAATCCTAAGTGGGACTTACAGGCTGATGGAGTGTCTTGCCCATACACACCTGCCCTCCAGCCAATAACTGCTGTGTTCATGTGCTCTGTTAATGAAGTAACATCATGTTATTTGAAGTTACAGCTTTGCTTTAAAAATCAAGTTAGAACCACTGTTGTAGAGATGGGAAACTGAGGCATAGGAGATGATCAAAGACTGGCCCAAGGTTTCCCCATGAAGTAGTGAAAGAATCTAGCCTAGAAACCACATGCTCTTGCTTTTAGTTCACTACCTTTTCTGTAGGAATCTAGGATTGAAGGCTTGGCTGAGAGTTCTTATCTGGAGAGGCAGACTTGTGTAAGACACTTCACATGCTTCCCCTAAACACCATCACCCTTATCCCACTCCTGGATTTCCTGTTTGGTACACATGCACAAGGATTTTTGTAGGAAAATGAATTCAAATTGTCCAACAGGAATCGTTTCCACATCTGGTACTTCTATTAGGCTACAATTTCCTTTTACCAGAGAAAGACAGAAACACGAAGATGGTTCTAGCCTTACGCTATGACCTTCACTTTTCTCCAGCCCTGTCATATCGAGCTGACATCAATTTTAATGAGACCGATGATGCCGCTGTGTTGACGGTTTAAAAGGGGAGCCTAGAGTTACTAGCGGACTTATCTTCAGCCAAACAGTTGCTTTACAGGAAAACCACCAAGCTGCAGCCAAGTGTAGAAGTTCTTCCCAGAGCCAATTAGGTCAGCTTCAGAATCTCAGACAAAGTGAATATTTTATTACGAGTTTCAGAGGCTTTGGAAGGCCATGTAGAGAAAAGAAAATTAACCTCTTAGGGTTACCATGGAGTCCTGGTGTGGCACTGTAGGATAAGCACTGGGCTGCAAGCGGTTTGAACTGCAAGGTCGGTGGCACAAACCCACCAGCCACTCGGAAACCCTATGCAGGATCATGAGTTGGAAGCAACTCAACAGCACTTAAAGCAACAGCAGTGTTAGTATGTATGTAGTATGCATGTATCTAGGTGTGGCACCAGACAACTAAGGTTTGGGGTGTGCGTGTGAATGTAGCACTGCTCCTACCCTAGACCCCTGGTAGGAGTATATCATTGGGAAACCCAAGCCCTGGGATTTGGAGGTCTCAATGGAATCCAGAGACCTGTGTTCTGGCTACTGACTCTTTGATCATCCCCAGTCATGTGTGCACTGTGAACTTCTAGTTTCTCAACTAAGGATACACAGCTCATGTTAAGTGAACTTGGAGGCTCATATACAATTCTGAATGTGGTACCCTCCCAAGTTCTAACCAGCAACAGAAGTTGTGTTCCCAGCAGGGAGAGCAATGACACCAGGGCCATCTGGAGCTGTAGATAAGGTTTTGGGCCAGTGGGGAAGTCAGAGCTATACTTCAGGCAGGAGGAGAACAACGTGGCTGTTGCAGTCATTCAGGAAGAACAGGGTAAGTAAGGATGCATCCCCAGGACTGACAATGAGGTAGCATCCAAAAACTTCACTAGAAATACAAGTGAGCTCACTAGTGAGTCTATTGGGGCTGGTGCTATCGGATAAGCACTGGATGGCTAACCACAAGGTCAGCAGTTCAAACCCACCAGCTGCTCCTCAGAAACCCTATGCAGGGTCACTATGAGTTGGAGCTAACTCAGTGGCCATCTCTGTGGTTCAAACTGACTTTGTGGTCCAGTGCTTGTCCAAAAGCGTCACACCAGAGCATGTTATCAAACATTACACTCAAAAACGTGCAGGATATATACCTGCCACTAGGGGGCACTACACTTGGAGAAGGACAGCAGATGACTATTGAGTGAGATTCTCATTTAATCAACCACCACTACCCAGGCCCCTGCAAAATAATAAACCAGAATCCCCATTTCACAGACCTAGAAACCAAAGGGCTTAGAAGTACCTCACCCAAAGACACAGTAACCAGGTTGGGATACCAACCCAGCACTACCCAAGTTGTTACATGCCATGGAGTCGGTTCCAACTCAGCGACCTTGTACAGGGTCTCCGAGGCTGTAAATCTTTACGGGAGCAGAAAGCCTCATCCTTCTTCCATGGAACAGCTAGTAGTTTCGAACTGCTGACCTTGAGGTTGGCAGCCCGACTCGTAACCACTACGCTACCAGAGCTCCTCAAGTACAAAATGGTATTTACTTTTTTGTTTAGTGCCATCAAGTTAGTTCTGACTCACCACAACCTGTTTTCCTTAGTTCCCGCTTCAGTTCTGATGAACAAGTTAGTAGATCTATTTCTTCTTCAGCTTAGGAACCAAGTGCACATTGGCCAACAAGACTCAAGTTACCCTGTTGGCTCCAAAGAGGGCTCCTGACAGAACAGAACTTAATTTTCTGAGTTGGAACCATACAACACTTAGGCTGAAAACTATAAATGTTGACAACAACCACTGTGGCGTGCTGCTGTAGGATCAGCACTGGGCTACAAACCACAAGGTCAGCAGTTCAAACCCACCAGCTGCTCTTTTGAAGCCCTATACAGCGTCACTATTAGTTAGAACTGACTCAACGGCACTTTAAGGAGTCCTGGTGTGATGCTGTGGATTAATACTCCGGACTGCAAAGTCGGTTTGAAGCATAATGTCGGTGCTTCAAGCTCACCAGCTGCTCCTTGGAAACCCTATACAGG